AAATTAGATAAAATAACTATTTTCACTGTACTCGTGGAGGATAGACGGCCATTCTGGCGGGATCATATTGTCTCTCTATCTAGATCAAACGCTGGTACCGGCTAACAGCCGAGTAGGAGTAACCCATTAGTCTTCTCCGACACTGTATCGTTCATTCAGCTTTATTTATCAGTTGATTGAACCCTAGTATATTGATCACAACGAGGACTATTATTTATACAATATCTTCGGAATATATCTGTACGTATATATACAACTGATCAACAGTAAGTTCTGTGATTTTTTCCCTAATCGGTGAAACTGCGTGCAGAGTCCAAAGACTCAATAATCTGGGGTGCAAACTAATTTGGGTTTGCAGAATCGACATTCTTGGGTTCGAAATGGTTTGAAATGGGTTCACAAGCTCAAGACTCTGGGGTTCAACATTATTTAAAATTTGGGTCACAGAATCTAGCTTCTAATTGCAAAGATATTGTTAATAAAAATCATTTAAAAAACCTATTGTTTCTGTATTAGGTAGTGGTCCTACACTATATCAGCACAAGCCCAGTAAACACATATGCACACACGATGACCATCTTTAGACTAAAAGTACACGTAACGTTTATGACCGAGTTCCTTTTATAATTTATCATAACACGTTGCCGGTCGTATCTAGCTTGAGATCGTGTTGACAGACAAGTTTCAATCACTGCCTTATTTCAAGATGTATCGGTGATCGATCTGTAGGAGCCTAGAAGAGCGTGCAATGTACCTAGCAGGTTAAAAGCTTGTCACCCTCCGGAGGCGTTAACAACAGCGAAAGGAGCGGATCAAGCTATTGGCAGAAACAAAACAAAAACCGATCTCGGCGCAACACATTTTCCGCAGATTTTATACTCAGCTAATCGAATAGAAATATCGTTTTAAAGCGACGCAGGACTGTTACAATTTTAAGGAACACGAGCATGATAATTTTATTAACGGAACGATCGAACTTCTCCCTATTTAGTTAACATTGAAGTACATGCGGTATATCTCCAGCTTCTCTGGGCAATATCTGTACATGACTGTTTGTCTGTCTGTCTGTTTGTATTTTTCGTTGCCCCTTAAAGGTTTTGGCCATAATTTGTTAACGATATTTGTTTGGTTATTGAACTGATAGTAAATTACTCTACAATAAGCAGCGTAACAACTATTTATATATATTGTAGGAAATCATTCCTTTTCTCATCGATTCATTATAATAATAATACTTCGAGGTTCTTATATACCGCTTTATCACAACTTAGTTCGTAGGTCGTCTCAAAGCGGGTCACAAATTAGTATCCGTGGTTGTAGGGCCTTTGCAACCAGTCCATATCTTTCTCAACTCCCTGGGGAGCACACAGCCGGTGCTGCCATTTCGGCGCTGACAGCTAGCATTCAACAATTCCAGCACTGCCCAACCACGTACTCAATTACCAGTTGGGTAGACTGGAACAAGTGGAGTAAATATCTTGCTCAAACCCAGCTAGCACACAGATATCGGGCCGATGTCGGCGTAGGGCGGAATATCGGCTAAATATACCATCATCGGGCCGATGTTGGGCCGATATCGGACCGTTATTACTTTATTTGCAAAAACATATTTACAGCACATATATATTTCAGAAACATGATCGAAAGAGTGGAAATATGCTATGTTGTTAATAATATTTGTACAAACAAATATCCCTTATGTAGATGGCATACTGATATCGGCCCGACTTCGGACCGATATCATCATAACGACATTACCTAATTATCTCCCCTTATGGATTTTCCGTACATCGGGCCGATGTGGGGCCGATATTAGACCGTTATTACTATTTTTGCGAGTATGTATTTTCAGCACATGTAAATTTCAGGACCATGGTCGAAATAATGAATACATGATTTGTTGTTAATAATATTTGACAGTTAAATATCCATTATGTAGATGGCAAACTGATACCGGCCCGACTTCGGACCGATATCTTCATAACCACATAACGTGATTATCTCCCCTGATGTATTTTCCATACATCGGGCCGATGTTTTGCCGATCTGGGGCCGGTATTGGACCTTATTTTGAGAATAGATATTTACAACACATATACCGATCCATGTGCGACATGTGTGTGAAAGTGACGATTTGTTTCCAAAATATCAGTTTGAAGTGCGCTCCGGGCGCGGGTCGCATATTTCCCGCATATTATAGAGGGCCGGAGTTCTGACGTTAATCGATCACAGACCGATATGAAAAAATATCGATAAATATCGATAAAACGTCAGAATAATTCGGACTAGTATAGGATTAATTGTTATTAGAAACGGGTTGGATAATCGGTGTCACAGGGGTGAACATAGACATAACCTATATTGGACAAATTGACGGTTGATGTTTACTAGGCCTTAACACACGCCAGGCTTAATTATAGAAACCTGTCCACTTTGAGGATGTGAACTTTATAACTCACCTAGTGATTAGTAAAGTAATACAATGTGTAATAACAAATATGCGTGCATCGTGTATTATGGTGGAATATATAATAGACTCTTAGTTATTAGTGACGAAATTGAATAATCAAATAGGTGTGTATCGTATATTATGGTGAGATATATAACGCGAGTGAGACAATGTTGTAGAAATAAATGACAAGGACCGCTTAGACATGAGTTTCGAAAAGACGAAAAGACGACAAAAGTCGAGCGAAAAGACGAAATAATTACGCGATAATTATCGACCTACATATGTCGTTATTTCGTGTTACTAATGTCGTCCTTTGGTCTGCCACGAAATAACGAAATGACGACATTTTAACTTTCTTAATTGTCGTGATCTCGCCGCGAAATAACGAAATAACGACATTTAAAAAAAATCATATCGTGTTTTCGCTGCGAAATAACACTCGGAACTCCTAGGGTGAGTCGTTCCTCGAACACTATGGAGCGTAGCGGAGTCACCCGAGGTTTGCCGATTGGCGAAATAACGAAACGACGACATTTGTAACACGAAATAACGACAGTTATAGGTTGATATTTATCGCGTGATTATTTCGTCTATTCACTCGACTTTTGTCGTGTTTTCGTTTTTCGAGGCGAAAAGACGAGATGCCGACAATTTAGATACACATATAATGTCGTTATTTCGTCGCGATATAACGAAACCACGACATTCTATAATTTAAAATCTCGTTACTTCACGGCAAAATAACGAAATGGCACAAAATAAGCCACCATCATTTATCATGTGATGCCTCGTTTTCACTTCATCAATGGGCTGTGCGTAGTCACTGTCACATATTCTTGTCGCTTCAGCCAGTGGTCCTATACTGGGCCGCGGTGGCAGCTACCACTATCCCTCCACCACTGGGTCGCGGGTTCGAGACCTACGTGGGGCAGTAGGTGGTTTTTCTCCGGGAGTTCCGTCAAATTTAATTCGTCCAAGATCAGTTGAAATTTAGGGGAAACATTTTAAATTATGTGCACGTACACTTTCTATAAGCATAAAGAACATGCACACGTGGTTCTGATACCCGATTGTACATATTAACAGTGAAAAGTTTCGGTACATCGTCGACTTGGTAAAATACACAATAAAACTTGTATCTCTGACGTCACAACTTTTTTTTATATATAAAACTCACACCTGATCGATTACCTTAACAGTTAACAGATGTAAAAATTAATATCCCTCACACCTCTGCTACCGCAATGGTTGTAAATGATGAAATGAAACGCTCGCGCTTGACCGCTTCCTTGAGACTGGTAAACAATACACAGTGATTCCTCTCCCTACACGGTACATCCTCATGGCGCTACATGTAGTATGTGTTATAGGGGAAATTGCATCTTAACTATACTGGAACCATCAATGCAATGCCATTCGGGATATCAAGAACATGGCTAGGCTATTTCAGAAATTACAGGAATATTCCATTTAAATCTTTACAACTGATGTACAAAAACTTTGCTCACCAAGTTATTATCAACAGGATAATAATAGCGAATCCGATACAGTAATAATACGATAAATTATTTTGAAATGTATTTAAGTTGAAAAGAGAAATACATGCTACTGGCTTACCTACCATTTCATTGAATAGGTAAGTTCGCCGTGACGTCACGGAATGATCACGTGACTTACTGGTTGGCAAGAGATTGTTTAAAAATGGCCGACCGATCTTAACTTTTGTTTGTTTGTTTGTTTGATTTTGTTTAACGTCCTATTAACAGCTAAGGTCATTTAAGGACGGCCTCCCCTGTGTGCAAGATGCATGCGTGTAGTGTATGTGTGTGTATTTTGGGAGGCTGCGATATGTTCGTGTTTGTCTCCTTGTGATAGCGCGGGACTGATGCCGACTTTATAGTGCTACCTCACTGAAACATACTGCCGAAGACACCCAGCAGGACGCCCCACCCGGTCACATTATACTGACAACGGGTGAACCAGTCGTCCCAATCCTAATTTGCTGAACGTTAAGCAGGAGTAGAAACTACCATTTTTAAAGACTTTGGTATGTCTCGGCCAGGGGACAGAACCCAAAGCCGATCTTAGCGGGTCATTCGCTATTTAGTCAATTATTGCTTATTAATCATGTATTTTCTTGTTGTGTGATCCAGTGGCGGATCCAGAGGTGTTCTTTTTTGCTTCAAGAACCCCCACCCTGATAATTTAGATCCCCTGTACCTGTAGTGTTTGAGAAAGACGAGAAGGATTTATATAATGTGTTTTAAAGGGATAGCATACTTTACATGTCCCTTTTACTTGTTTACAAAATGTTTAATAACAATCTCCTCCCATTGCCTTTATTTGTCATTTTTTTAGCGCAACATTCCCTTTTACGATATACAAATATTAATATGATTTTCATCACCAGAACATTTTAATTGCGGAGATATGATGATATTTTTAAAGATAATGTATTCTCGCACAAAACGTACGTTTACATGTGTTGGGACCAACACATATTACATTTGTTCCCGCCAATCTTATGAGTGGACTTCGCGATTATGACGTCATTTCCGTTTATTATTTGGACGTCGTGACAAATATTCAAACATGTTTTTAGCGTTGTTGTAAAAACAATGCAATGGAAATCTCCCCTGCAGAGATTCCTTTGACAGAATTGGGGAATCCCAGGGCGAGTTCCGAGAGGGAATTTGGCGGCCTGAACGATCCGCAGACCGAAGAGCCGGCGGCAACTACCGTCAGTTTACCTAAAACGTCTGAGGAAAAAGATGGTCTTGAGGAGCGTGCGTCTCTTGGAAGTAGGGAAACAGGATGTGAGGTACGTTTACTAAAACTCAATACAGCTAAAGGATATTTAAGGAGTTGGAAGTTTACCGGTTCGTGTATGTCTAAACTGTTTTATTTGTTTGATGACTTACGGAGGCACATAGGCCTAATCCTTGCGTTACTTTTTGTTATTGCACATATGATTGTGTGAGGTTGACTAACAAACCCACCATTAGCGACACCAAAAATGATTTTGTATATATTTCCTTATCAGACAAAAGAAAATGTACAGTCAGGAAAAGACACACAACAGTCTGATATCCAAAGTCTGCCACCCTCTAATTCTTCGTCAGACGAAAACATCTGCCGGATTTGTCAGGAATCCAGTAAAGACACAGGTAATTTTTGGATGGTTATTGTTACCGTTTAATTACTATATTTTATATAATAACGTAAGAGTACCTGAAATGGAACGCTTTTCACCTATCTGATGCAGCATCAGTGAATGAAACAACAATAGGATTCATTGCGGGCAATGTTGACCGCTAACTTTACGTTCTAAATAGAAGGTTTACGTGACGCTACCCCAATTGGTACAATTTCAACTGGGTTTTTTCAATAATATTTAAACTTCGAAATCATACATACGGAGTGTTTCTAGTTTGTTGCCAAGACAGCACATGATGGTTAAAAAAAGGTTAAGATTCTAATTTATTTGTTCCTAAAAAAATATCTCTTGGAGTGACATCACATCCGTGTTTAGGTAAAGAGAGGAGTACCCAAAACGGTACACGATTTCGCAGGCTATGAACACGTTGTTTATTTCTATGAACTACCGTACAGATAAAAACAAAATAGCCATTTGTAAAATACTGAGCTAAATTGTTCTATTATCCTGTTTATGGACCGATACAAGTTACTAAACTAAGATATTTATAACCTAGAGGAGCCGGTACAGACCACCCGCTGTTCTTGTAAGGGTGCGACGGCCCGCATCCACCGGTCGTGTCTACGGGAATGGGTTCGACACCAGCGGAGCGTGCGCTGTGAAATCTGCAAGGGACGATTCGAGGGCATCACTCCCCCTGGGTCACTGGAACGAGCCATAGATCGACACATGGATCAGAACTATATGCCTGCGGAGGATATCACGGTAACCACGACACAAACATGTACCACTATAAGCCCACAACATTGCTACTTGTTTCTCCCCTTATATCACCTCGTCTCTTCCCTATTTATACTCATGAAAACAGTATTAATTGACTGAGAAATATTTCTTCTCGCATTGATGTTTCACCTAAATAATGCTGAAGCCCTGCTTAATCGTAACACTTAGCCATGTCTGGTAAACCAGTGTTTTATTATTATCCGATATGTTACAGGAGACGATCCATCAGCTGTACTACCATCTCCACAGACTCCGGCCATTTACCAGGCGCAGACGCGCAGCTATAGCGGCAACCATTGTCTTCCTGGCTCTGGTCACGTGCATGTCCGCCGTCATGACAGTAGAGGCTGACCGAGAATACCGCCAGGTATCCAAGAATCCCTGGTCAACTCATCATGCTGTTGACCAGTCAGGAATCATCTTTTCTATATGCGTAGCCTCGGCGTTCTTCTGCGCTACATTAACAATCGGTTTGCTTGTGATTTGGGCAGGTGTGGAATGCACATACCACATACAGCGCCGGGCTCTCTACCGTCGGGTTGAACGTAGTATGCTAGAGAATATGGGCAGACATAACGTAATAAACGTAGTATGATATACAGAAAACAGTTGTTTATTTTGCTGAAAACACCTCTGATTCATTTGCCGTTGAAATGACACTCTGTTATAACGATAATCAGGTCCCTGTGTCCTAGAGCACAGACACGCTAACACACATTAAATTGTTACCACAACGAGTAAGGTCAGAGTCGGTTATGTCCAGATGATGTCTCCGGGAGAGGGAGATATTTACCCTTTAGGTGGACACTGTCCAGTTCAGGTCAAGGATCACTCACCTCAACCTATACAACGAAAATCTAAACGTCCATTATTTCAAGTAAACTTTCTCCCAATTAGCTTGGCAAGAATTGTATACCACACAAAAAACTCTACATGTTTATCACAAACCCACTCAAATTCTTTGTCATGGTCATAAAAACATATTCCACATTTACAAAAGTCCGTTTGAGATATGTTATGGTCAACACTTTAATTTAAATGTCTTCCTATAACATTTTACTACCAATGGATATGTATATTGCTACTAAATGTCTTTCTTCAAGCATTTACATAATTGTTTCTCTTTTTATCTGCTAAAAGATTTTCCTGTCACTCCCGATGATATGATTTCTCTTTCTCCCACACTTCATGGGCGCGTTCCCGTTTTTGCTAGGGAACTTTATCTTTCTATTGAATGACAGCTCATACGCGTTTTGTCACCCATGTCATGCGCTAAAGTTAAAAACAATACTTTTCCCGAGGGATTAGATTTCTCTGCCTGCATCACACGAGAGTGAATATATGGCAGATAACATTCTGACGTGGTGTCATCAGGTCAGAAAAGGAAGGAACACTATTATAACGGGTTTACATAATAAAATGTGACTACACAATAAGCCTTAAACGGGAGAGACCATGAACAAGTGCTGATTTCTATTTTTGAACATATATTACTGTTAGGATGGGTACAAGAAAATCATCCCCTACATTGAATATATACCAAATACATATCAACCCATGGGGCGATATTCTGGAATGACAAGCCATCAGCTTGAAGCAAATCACGTGTTAGACAATCACAAATATTACCCCTTGGGCTGAGATTTCGCTATCATGTCATCAATGTAGGTGAAGATTGTATTAGTCTGTACAATAAGAACCACATTTATTGAGTTTCAAAAATGATAGCATTCACGATATGATGTGTCAATCGTTCCGAATCGTTGCAAATATCCGTTTTACCGGCTCCGCTTCGCGTCGCCAGTTAATCTCAATTTGCGACAGTATAATCACGAGAGACCGCCGACATGTTAAATACAAATGGAAAACATTGAAGACTGCAAAGCTTCACGAAATTTAGAGTAAGGCCTGGAGAAATCTAGAGGTAAGTAATAGAATCAGAGGACCTTGTATCTTATTTGAGGAACACGAGTATTCTGTTTTTATTAAGACAACAGGCACAGCTGTAGAATCCCTCTTTGTTTACCAGATACAGGTAAAGTGCAATGGACAAGCAGTACGGTGTGAACGTTCTGCCAGTACAATAACGCGATCTCGAAATCAAAGCGAGGCTATTTTCTTTTATTCTAGTACGACGTTTCAGTACCTCCTTTTACTCCGCTCCAAAATACCTTTTTACGTCCGATCGGGGAACTGAAGCTCCGATCGTCTTGGTTAAATGCGATTGCGCTTTCCACTGCGCCATCCCACCCCTATTACAATTATCTCACCACTATTATAATTATCCCACCACTATTACAATTATCCCACCACTATTACAATTCTACTTTATTTTTTACTCCAGTACGATGCGAAAATATATCCGTTCACGAGGCTGCCTGCTTTTACACCATTACTAAGCTTCTCCGGTACGAGGCTATCTTCATTAACATTGACGATGATTATCATCTCGCAAAAAGTATCTAAGTTTCAAGACACTGGCCGAATAAATAGTTTCGCAATAAAACCAGCAAATCACCGTTACTGTCTCTACATGTATGACACGTTAAGTATTGGGTACACCTCCCCCCCTCAGTGACCGTTACTGTCTCTACATGTATGACACGTTAAGTATAGGGTACACCTCTCCCCCTCAGTGACCGTTACTTATACATACGTACAATTTCTACTACACGTAGTCCTGGTCAGAACTTAACCACTATGGCTGTACCCGCGAACGTACTGATATTGGCCCTCCTGCTGTTTACGGGTGTTTACGGACAGCAGAGTAATGACCTGTCCACTCTTATGTCCATGGTGCAGAGTCTGCAGCAGCAGATGAATGTCATGCAAGCCGCCATCAATAATGGTCCTAAGTGCGGTGCAGGCAGAGGTAGGTGTATTAGGACATAAATGTCGATATTAATTTGTCCGAAATATTTGAAAAAATGAATGGAACGATATCGATGAAAGGACTGCTGTTAAGAATTTGTTTGTTCTCAACTTTAATTCTTTTTACGATGGAGACAGTTTCAAAATAATCTAAGTGCTCCCTCCCCTAATTCTAAAATCGGCGTCATTTCCTGAAACTTCACTGTGACGTCAACTGTCGTCATTTCAGAAAGGAAGTACTAAAATGGGTTTATTTCTATCCTGTCGATTTAAACATGAGAGTTCAGTTAAAAGACCATTAATAAGTGGCGCAACGGGCTTTATTTGACTGTGGCGAGAGATTCCTATGTAACACTGGACAAAACTTTCCTCTCGATGGAGCAGTTTACTCATGAAGTCGTAGGGAAGGATGGGGTTGGATGAGCCACGGGTTGTTTTGAAAAAAGTCGATTGCTCGTATTTTACATTTAAAAATGACGTCACATGGAAAATCATCAAACAGCATTTCCCTTTGATACTGTCAGTTTCATGACCAAGTCGGCAATATTGCTTTAGCTGTTTAATTAATTATATAAAATTGACACCATTGTCCTACTTGTTTTAGAAATACTTCACACAAAACACATCAAACGTGATTTGTTGATTCAAATCGCGACTGTAAATCCTGAATAAACATGGTATCTTTCTATAATGTTATTGTATGACTTCATAAGGATAACAGAACACTTTTTATTGCGTTTTAGATTAGTAAAATGGATCACTCGTGCATACTATATATAATCCATACATACAAACATACGAAATGAAATGTTGAAAAGGTGCAGAGGAAGTAATTTTTTATTCAAATAAACTTTATTAATGAAGCAAATGATTGGCCACAAGTTAACACAACATTACAAATGCCCTCCTCAAATCACACTTAAACATAGCAGCAAAACATGTTAGAACTTTTTTTTTATTTCAGTTTAAGACTAATTGCAAAATGAAATGAAATACTATCACATAACTGCTAAAAATAACAGCGTGTTAATGACTGTAATAACCGTCTATATTCTCCATGTATATCAGCCGATCCCCGTAATGTAAACTGTCTATATTGTCCATGTATAACAGCCGATCCCCGTAATGTAAACTATCTATATTG